ATACCTCCCGAAGTGATCGATTCACCTGAACTGAGTTAGAGGTCGTACAGTCGACTATATGCGGGTACAGACGGATTAGTAGATCCCACACATGCGGCTCCACACTACCGACCGGTGCCTTCTTAAGAGAGATTATGAGTGTCGCCAATGCTTTCAATACGAAAGAGATTTCTCCCATTCGATGCCGGGGTAGAGGACAGGGACATAGTCTCTCGTCCTCAACATATTTGATGACCACTTCATTAAATCGCTGAAGGATTGAAGTGACCGCTAATTTGTTGACGATTCCGATGCTGTGGTCGGGAATTAAATCATTGCCCGACGACTGTATGAAAAGACCCGGATTTCCCTTTGGGGACAAAAACGAGAACTGAAGTAATGTCTCAAAACATGTTCGCGCGAAGTCTTCGCGTAGTTTTCGCGTCGTTTCTGTATCTTTCAATTAAATTAAATCCTTAAATAAATTAAATGACAAACATTTTAAGTGACAAACAACTGACCGACGGGTGAACTATTGGTCGCCGAATGTATTGATCCCTTATTGAGAAGCGACACAATTTGCAGAACAAACTCCTGCGGAATCTGAGCGGCAAATGGCATAATTGAGTCGCGAATTAGTTCAACAATTTTAACATCAAGTGATTCATCAAATTGTTGCTCTTCTAGGGTCTGAGTGGACGNAACAATTTTAACATCAAGTGATTCATCAAATTGTTGCTCTTCTAGGGTCTGAGTGGACGCCGGCTTTGAGACCGGGAACAGGAAGCCATCGAAACATAGCGCAAGATCAGCCCAAATCCCTATAAAGTCGGACGCTATCGACGCAACGGTATTAATAGTAAAGAATATTCTGTAAACAATAATAAACTTTTAAATCATACAATTGATTCGTGCGATCGGAAGTCCGATTTGCAGTGCAGTCAACAGCGTATTGACGCCCAGCTTCCAAGTGGTTTGTGATGGACACGAATATTTCAAACACAATGATATTTTCAATGTCTATATTCAATGAAATAACAATTACGGTCTAAATTGCTCGTGTATGCCATTCATTATACGGTAACATTAACTCAAACCTTAATAATGGAGTGAAGAATATTAGACTTAATGACAATCTTTTCGTTGGCTGTCTTCTGATAGAGCGACAGAGCATTCTTGAGAGCCCTCTCACCCAAAGAGGTGTAAGTATTAGAATTAAGAGCCGATATTTCAGCCTATCATTCAAATGATGTCTCATGAATTCAATGGATGAGTTATTTTTTAAATTAATTACTACTTACAGAAATCAATTGTGAAGTGATCGGTGTTTTATTAAATATCGGTAAATGTGGCGGAACTGAAAGTTTAAAAATAGTTTAATTAGAGATTAGTTTTAATGAAAACAATTGTGAGAACTCACTAATATTGACGGCATAACAAGATAGAGCTAAATATTGGTGGAAAATGGATGGCAGCAGAGGATGGAGATCTGGATCCACGAGAATCTCTTTTTGCAGAGTTTCCACAACAAAG